GTTACATTGGACACTTGGACAGCCGCTGATATCCAATCGGTCTTGGGGGCTTGTCCGATTGTCCAAGGTCTAATGGACGAATGTGTGGGTGTAGTTGCTGACGTCATCGAAATGAAACCCTGATATTTTTTTGGTAAAAGCTTGGGCACTTGGACGGCCGCTGCTATTTGGTCAATCTCGGGGCTTGTCCGATTGTCCAAAGTTTGATGGAAGAACGTGTGGGTGTAGTTGCTGACGTCATCATAGAAGTCCTGATATCTTTGTGGGTCAGCGCACCTGCCGCCACACATACAGCAAAACCTGCCAGCGCCAGGGGTGAGCGTGACTTCTTCGCTCGGAAGTCACCATTCTTTGACTTTGATTGCTCCGCAGGAAACGGGAAGGGGGTATTGAAAGAGGTGCTGCAAGCTGCCACCGGTGATTACTTTGGCGGCATGTCCAAGGATGCAGTGGTCACCGCCCCTGGCCAGAAATCTGCCTCGAAGAACGCCCCTACCAACTACATCTACGAGCTGATGGGCGTGCGGCTTGCTGTCGCCGATGAGACGGCAGAGGGAGAACGGGTGAATTTGGGGCTCGTCCTAGGAATGACCGGGGGGGGGAAGACAAAGGCGCGTTGTCTGTATGGAAATAACGTAGAGTTCACCATCACGCACACGCCCTTTGTCCAAACGAATTATCCGCCCGCCATGTCTGCAACCGCAATCAAGGAGAACGTCCTGCGACGCCTGCGAATGATCCCGTTTCCCAACAGCTACGTGGGCGCTGACACCTTTGATCCCAACAATGCAACCCATCGCCTGAGAGACGACGGACTCAAGGGTCGCATGAAGGAGGAGGAGTCCCTTCGTTAAATGCTCTCGTGGTTAGCCCGCGGTTCGGTTGAGTGGTATGCTAGTGCAGATGGGCTCGGTCGTCCTCCTCAAGCGGTGAAGAGTGCAACACGTGAGTACGTCGGCGAGGCCGACAAGCTGCAATTATTTCTCGACCAACATTGCAAAATTGGAGAGGGGCTTTCGACTCTGCAGGCTGAATTTGCCACCCTCTATTGCGAATACGCTTCAGAGAGGATATCCAATGAGGAATTGGCAAGAAGGATGGAAAAGAAGGGGTTCAAAAGGCTCAAGAACAACGAGACACCCCGTCAATTGTACTATCCAACGATCAGGTGCGAGTACACACTCTGATGGTCCTACGTAGAACTTGAACAAAGTAGATAGGCTCCACTCGAAAACAAAAGGATAAGTTGTGACAGGATGTCAGCAAAAAGCCCATATCAGAACAGTGACTATTGAGATTGTATAATGACGTCAACATGTTGCGGCCATGATATGTTTTCGTATCAAATCTTGGACATCCGGACAGAATTTGCTAGGCCATCTGGCCTAGTGGTTGGCAACTCTAATGAGCTTCCTCCGTATGTACCAAGCTTGCGATTTCGGCTCGGATGAGCTCCATCAATTAGGAAAAACCTAGCTGTATGCGTTAGTAACGTAATGATCTGATGTTGGTGAAATATCTCGTCGTTGAAGACAAGGTCGTAGCTTTGATTTTGCTCTGCGGGTTTTATCAGCATGCGCATAAGCCTATCATATAGCTCGCCTAGTGTAAGCGGTTGTGCCCTTGTTTGTTGCTCAGCAATCTTGCGGATCAAAAGGCATAGACCAACACCTATGACTTCCAAGCTTCCAGTCGACAACCCAAGTCGTAGAATGCATGGATAGTACTTCACCCCAGAGCCAGCTGATAGATTCTTGCATCGAGCTAAATCAATCTCTTTATCAAAGACGTTGTCAAGATTCGACTTTGACATTTTCATCTCCATTTCCACCGGGTATTCGAGGCCAAACTCATACTTATCTTTACGAT